TGGGGTCACGACAACGATGGTGATGCATTGAATATAGCTTTATTGTATTTCATACACACCTTCATTTTTTCATCCGAGAAGAACAGCACAACCATATCCAGGCTACATTTTGACTTGGTCAAGAGTGGGTGCTATTCTGAATATCCATGGGGTTTAAAAGCATTTAAAACGCTGACAAAATCTATTAGCAAGAAGATGGATGCTCAGAAGAAGTATTACAGGAAAGCTGGGATGCCCCTAGCTATGCAAGTGTGGTTTTACTGTTCAAATGTTGATCCCAAAATCGCACTTCGAGTTGATAACGTAGTCCTAGAATACTCAATTGGAGAACCACCGGAAATCAACCAAACTTTGCTTATCTAATGAACAGCATGTTCAATGACAAGGGAAACATGGTAATATACAATTTGTATCGTAGCTACTTTACAAAATTTACTAATCATTAATGTTGTATACAGTTGCATACAGTTGTTGCATACAGTTGCTGCTATTCTCATTAGTACTGCTGTATATTTGGTTAATTGAAACTTCAATACAGTTGTTGCTGCCTTCATTAATACAGTTGAATACAGTTGCATATGATTTACTAATTAGTATTGCTGCCTTCATTTGAATACAAATTACATTTTGATTCCAGTATTAAAATACACCCATTGTAGTAAGACTTTGATTGTATTTCGTTTTTCAGATTGTTTACAAGGACATCCATCCAAACGATATAGAACTTGCCGTTATTCAGATTCCTCCAGTAGGCGTTGATGTTGAGAGCAATCCTACTCATACTCATTCAGACAAGTCGGCAGAGGATTCGGATGACTTTTCTCCTACACCTGATCTCCAGTGTAAGAAGAAACATGCTGCAAGTGTTGGTCCATATTCATCACCGCCCCATAAAAAGTGCAAGGAACAGAATATTTATCCTTCAAATACATCTCTAATTGGTGTGTCTAAAATTGCACAAAATGTTTTGCATCACAATCAGCTGGCAGATTCCAAAAATGATGAAGTATCTTCTTTGAGGAAAGACCTAAATTCATTTAAAGAATACGTGAGCTTTTTATCACATTAAACATTACAGTTTAGTGCTTAACATTCGTATGTATACAAATGCACCTATAATTATTTCTGTTTTGCTAAGGTTGTGGTCGAGTTCAAGTCTCTGAGATCATTGATCAATGATAAATTTAAAATGCTTGTTGGCCATCTTCAACACAATCAGCAAAAAGAAAGCTTACACCAGAGAAAGGAAACCACAGGGACATGTGATGATGGTATTGAAATGCCATATGAAGCGAACTTGCAAGATATTCCAAAAGGTCACAGACAGACTGATACACTAGTCGGCGATAATATTGAGGTTTAACATTTTTTAACCTCTTTAGTATATTTTTAGATCTCTTGTTTGCTCTTGTTCTGATTAATCATATATAAAACAATTTTATTACATTGTAAAATACAAGTCTATACAGAATAATTCAGTATTTTAAATTATATTAATCTATATGCATCTCTATTTCTGTTGTAACTCTTAAGGAGATTCATTGAACATACTTCTAACATGTATTCATATGTATTCGTAAGACATGTATTCAGATGTATTCATTGAACATACTTCTAAGTTATCTAAGTAAGACATGTATTCAGATGTATCTAAGTAAGACATGTATTCAAATGTATTCTGCTGTATTTTCAAGTTATTAGTAGTTTGTAACTAACATATGTATTACAGTAATATGTATTTAATTGACTCATTAGTTTTGAATAACATGTATTTAACTTAATCTCTATGATGTACTTAATTGCCTCTTTATTCATGAATTTCTGTTGTAGTACAGCAATTTCAAATGTATTTTTCTGTATTCAGTTGTATTCAGTTGTCTTTGAACATACTTCTAACAATGATGCATACGACTAACAGAATGCAGTGGTTAATGCTCCTTGTGTTGAGACAAGAGTGGAGGGGAATACTACATCAGAGGTGCCGTGCAACTTACCACCTATAGGCCAAGAGGGTGTATCCACAGATTACTATGTATCTCAATTTGAGCTAGACGACAAGTTTCTTCCCAGTCAAATTTCAGAAACTAGAATTGTGATACACAACAGTGCCAAAAAGGTTGCATTAACCCCAGTACCATCTCATAGGAATCGGCGACCAAGTAAATGGTATTCTTCGCCTTATGAGTCTAACTTCGACTCTGTAGGTTAGTGTTTTATAAACTAATTATCTATTTCACCATGGTTTTTATAATTAAAACTCTATATACATGAATTCAATGAACAACAGGTACCTCAGTAAAGTTGACCCCTATTTTTGAAAAAAGACACTCATTTGAGGATGATTCAATAATGGGGCCGCACCCTACATTAATCATTCAGGAATACGACAAATGGGTTTGTGATGGTCTTCTTGCTAGACATGAGCAGAAGTGAGTTTTTTCCTAGTATGTCTATTATGTATTTATATTTTTAAAAATGGATATAATTCCTTTTTTATATCATACTTGTAGAAGTAATTTGGAAGACCATTACAAGAAGAACAAGTCAACACTTCATATACCATTGGATTTTGGAATTGATCAAGTTAATTCAAAAAATTGCTTTTACCTTCTATCTTTTGACGGTAAACTATGGGATGACAATGTAAGTTTTACCCCTTCCAAATCCACTATAATTCATTTCTTTAGTATTGGTTTGTCTAATTGTATAATTAACAAATTGAGCTCTAACCCAAATTTGTCTTACATTACTTTGATGTACTCAATTGTATGCATATGTTACTAATAAATTTGTTGTATTTAATTGTATTCTGATGTATTTTAACATTTTTTATTAGCTGAAAATGCAACATGTTTTTAACTGAATCTTTATGATGTATTTAGTGGCATCATTATTCCTGAAGTACTGCTATATTTTAATGTATTCTGCTGTATTTTCAAAGTTATCATTAGTTTGTAACTAACATATGTATTACAGTAATATGTATTTAATTGACTCATTAGTTTTGAATAACATGTATTTAACTGAATTTCTATGATGTACTTAATTGCCTCTTTATTCATGAATTTATGCTGTAATAAAGCAAATTTAGATGTATTTTTCTGTATTCAGCTGTATCCAGTTGTATTCAGCTATATTATTCGGTTGTATTCTTTAATATGTATCTTTATGTATTCAGCTGTATTTTTCTATATTCAACTGTATTATTCTTTAATATGTGTGATGTATTGGACTAACACTACGTAATTAAATTTGTGTATAGCATATTGACGTCATATTCTACAATCTGAGAAAGAAGGGAAAGTACAACCAAACAAGCAACTTCAAATATACAACTGTTGATTGTATATTCAAGACAAGAATCGCTGAAATCTTCGACATGTATGCTGATACAGATAGTAATGCCAATGTAGCCAAAGAAGAGGATGTGGTATGTGAGTACATAAGGGGCTACAGTTTGCTAGCTAATGTACCTTGGCATACTATTGACAATCTCTTGATACCAGTCAACTTGAAGGATAAACTACACTGGATATTGGTTGTTGTCTCATTCAAGGAGAGGTGTATCAAAGTGTATGACTCGTATAGATCTGCAGGTCATGATGCCTATGTAGCTTTTGAGATAGATAAGCTAGCTAAGCTTGTACCTCTGTATCTATCAATCAGTGGCTTTTACAGAGATAGTCAAGGCATAGATTGGTCTACTTACTCAGCATACACTGACAAGCCATATACTGATTCCTTTGAAGTTGTTTTCATATCAAATCTACCTCAACAGAAAGCTGGGAGCATGTATGTATTCAATCATCATTCTTGTATCATTTTAAAAATCTAATTTTATGAATTATTTTTAATTGTTTCAATCAACATTTTTCGGGGATTGTGGGGTGCATGTTGCGGCATACACAGAGTTTCTGAGCACTCTTGGTGAGATTCCACAAGCAACATTTGATTCCAATCTACTCCGTCAAATATATGGTGATCTCCTCTAGGACTATGCTATGCGGAAGATAGATGTTGATGCCATAACCGAGAATGAAGCACCCTCAAAGATTGTTAGGCAAATTACAGAGTCAGATTCAAAGTTGCAGATAGTGTAAGAGTAGCTTTAGGTGAATGTTGTTTTTAGGTGAATACTTTTTTTTTGAATAGTTTTTTGATGAAGATGGTATTCAGTTAGAAAAAATCATCACTTTATCAACAGTATTCGTGTATGACAATTGCAATTTTTCAATCGATGTTTCATTGTTTTGTTCATAAGTATTCATACTTAATCTTTAGTTTATATTCATATGTATACTTACAGGATATAAGTATGTATTAATATTCAGTAACTTGGCTTGAACAGGTTATACGTATTGAACAAGTTAATATCAAAGTCAGAAACTTTAGGTATATTGAACAGGTTATATTAAAGAATTTAGATGTATTTTTCTGTATTCAGCTGTATTATTCAGCTGTATTCTTTAATATGTATCTTTCAAATTCAGTTAATGCATATTAAAGAATACAAATTCATATGTATTAAACAAGTTATACGTATTTATTGAAATTGTTATATTATAGCTGAGTATATAGATGTATTCTGACTAGTTATGTATATTTTTAACTCAAACACTGTCTATGATTGTATGTCTAAGTATATGTGGACAAGGTTGTATTCGATTGTATTCAACACAATACTGCAACTAAATGTATACAGAATCTAATCATGTTATATGTATTTATTGAATTTGTTATATTATAGCTGAGTATATAGTTGTATTCCGATGTATTTTGACTAGTTATATATATAACTCAGGCACTGTCTATAAAAAATTGTCAAAGTATATGTGGACAAGGTTGTATTCGAATGTATCCAACACAATACTACAACTAAATGTATCCAGAATCTATTCACGAAAGGCATTTCAAAATTTATTACTTGACAATGAAAATTTATTACTTGACAATGTCATCATAAGTATTGACAAATCGTTAGAGCACTAATACATGGTTAACTAAATGCTACGTGGATCATTTCTACACGTTCGCTTGTTATGTCCTCCATGCCCACATATGCTACATGAATGTTGATTTTTCGGTTGCAGCAATTCACTTAAAGGTTTATCGTGCTTCTTCTTTGGCCTTCCAAGAGGTCTTTTCCATTTGGGTGGTAATACAACCTCCTCTACAACATGTGCTGGTATATTCCAATCATTTCTATCTGGTAGTGGGTACACAGGCACATCGTATGTCATTACAACAGAATTTGATTTGTAATAGTTAGAGCAATATTCTTCTGGCATTAGAAACTTGCTCTTCAATACAGCCCAAGCATGTGGGAATGGTAATTCATCAACTTGGAACCTCCCACAAATACATTTTCTCTCTAACAGGCAGACGGTGTAATGCCTCCCTCCATCGTTAATCGTATGTAAGTATTCAGTTGATGGTACCACCTACATTTAAACATAGAACTATAAGTTTTGAGCACATATAACTGAATTACCATATGTATAATGCTGAATTACTCAGTTATATACAACTAAAATGATTGCATACAGAAGAATACATCATATATTTAGATCGGCAGACTATAAACTATAATTACGTCTTAGCTTATGAATACAATGACATACATCAAAAATTTGTTGTACTTTAGGCAACTAAAGTGTAACAAAAACATTAGAAGGCTACGGTATGACAATACGTCTATATAAAAAAATTATGTATTATACAGATTTTTTAGTTGTATTCTGATGTATTCGAATAGTTTATTTTTGCAACATGTATTTATTTGTATTCATATGTATTCAACTCAGATCTTCGATAAACTATATGTTGTATGTAGTTGAATTTAGTTGTATTTATATGTATTCATGGCAGTTGTATTATAAAAAATATGTTGTATTCATGTCAGTTATTTCAGAAAATAATTAAGCTATATAATACAATGACATTAAAATAAAACTTACGGTCATGCATGTAGACATTACCTCATTCAAAGTCAACATCTCCTGGTATATTTTTCCAAGCGTTGTGTATGTCTGTGTAGCTTCTTTGCGGTTACTACAATTCCAACGTCCAAACATCTTCCTAACTTCTTCGAGGAAGTCGTATATTGGCAATTCCCTTGTTGACACTAGTGCGGCATTGATTGACTCGCAATATTTGACGTCATTGCCCATCCCCTGTTAACAGGTGCATACAACCTAGCCCACTTTTCGTATCCAGCTAACTCCAAGTATTCTTTCACCCCTAATATCTACCTTCTCCACCTTCTCCATCAGACTGTCAAATTCATCTTGTGTGTATGCTTTTGCCATCGAGAAGTATATCTCGCTCAACTTGGCATGGTTCTTTTTGAATTTCTTATATATGTTGTTCCATAAATGTCATATACAAGCAAAATGCGGTACATCTGGATATACTCTCGATACAGATTTAATGATACTCTCATTTCTATCTGAAACGATGCACATGTTTTACCTGTCACCGTATGCTATCTTGAATTGCTCAAAGAACCACATCCAAGCAGCATCGTTCTCTGAATCAATAACACCATATGCTAGTGGCAATATATGACCTGTAAAGACAGTTGAATACATATTTTTAAAACATATATTTCATTCTTTAAAATATTAACAGATTTTATTATAATTCACGTACTCACATACACCATCCAACGTGCTTGCCGAAACGAATGTCCCGGTGTAGTAAGATTTTAGGTGACTTCCATCCACAACAACAATGGGTCTACAATGATCAAACCCCTTTATAAAGGCATACAAAGATATATACACGTACATGAATTCATTTTTGGGCGATTTTACAATTCTGATGTGGGAACCTGGATATGTTATATCCATTGTATATAAGTATCCTGGTAATTTTTTGTATGAATCAGCCGGTTCACCTCTCAAAAAATTCATTGCCTTTTCTTTAGCCCTCACGCCAACATGTAGCTAACATCTACACCTAAATCTGATTTTACATCATCAATAATATCCTTTGTGGTGTATTTCCTCTTATGATTAGTAAGCTTAGGCATAATCATACCACCTATAAGGCTGCTACTTGCCTGCCGCTGTTCATACACCTTGTCCTTCAGCGGATATGTATGGTTATCAATGAACTCTCTCACTTTGAATAGTTCTGATTTGTTAATGTTTGAAGCCTTAAACCTCCATTCACAATCTTTTGAAATACATAATAATGCATAGCTGCAAAGAATTAATCATTGTACATATGATTAGTATAAATGTTTACAAAAAATGCACTCATATACACACGAATACAATCTGACATGAATATATTCTGACATCTATATATATAAATTATTATACAACTGAATTCAATTATAATTATATGTATTTAAATACAATGAATATAACTGAATACAATTATTATTATTATTATTATTATTATTATTATTATTATTATTATTATTATTATTATTATTATTATTATTATATGCATACACTTAAAAAGTACAGTAAACAAAATACGAAAATAATTAGAGACATTGTAATGTAATTATACCAGTAAAATACATATGAATACATGTATTTAAAGACCATGAACAAACATATGTTAAACACATCAGTGATGATCAAGTGGAAATCCACAAATACGCATAAATACATCAATGTTTAACTTGAAGCTCGAACCAATAATACAGAATACAAAAAAAAAAATTAAATGCACGCAAACCTGACAGCATTAGACCTATCAACCCGGAATTGAAACCTTTGAGATATAGCATAATTCTTCATCACCTCTTTCAATGTAGCCTTATCCTTATATACTTGTCCAATAATAACATCCCTTTGATTAGTTTTTGGAATTATCAAATTCTTGTTCAGTTCAAACACCCCAATTGCTTCTCCTGAATTGACAAGATCTAGAGCAAGCGTATCATATGTACCGGAATCATACCTTTGTAGAGATTCGCCTATTTGCACAATATCTCCTTCACTTAAAGTACCATAGGATACAAATTCTTTTTCAATCATTGTTATGCACAAAGGATACATCCCGAATTCTCTGTTCTCTTTTTTTAACTCTACATAAACCTTGTAACCCATGTCATTTTGTATTTTCATTGGCGTGCTATTCCCTTCTACTTTGTATTGAATTTTAATGGACTTTGTGCTCAAATCTATGCCCAGTTGATTAGAAATTGAAGCAACCAAATCATAATACGACGCATACTCCTTTATCAGTATTCCCTCAATTGAAAAATCGATGTAATTGCCCTCATCATTCCACTTGCCAGAATGACGCAACAACACTGTTAAACTTGCCATATGTATAATGGAACTATACCGTATTTTGAATACAATTGTATCAATCGTAATTTTTCGTGGTTGAATTGAGAACTGCGAACAGAGAAAAGGGAGAAGTGAATGGAAGAACTGCGGACAGTTTGCTCTTGTTTTCGTTAATTTTTTTGTTGAATCGTGAATGGAAGAATACAGATTAATGGGTAATAGTTTTTGTTCGTTGAGTTAAATTAGGAGAATATCAGGTAATTTGATTTCCTTTCCGTTTTTAACTAGTTCAACCTTCCAGATTTTACGCAAATACGTTACTGTATTCACGATAAGGTCGCATGAATACAATCAAATACATATCAACCTTAGCTGGAATTCCCTTTTTAACGCCTATTTTTGCTATTGTATTAATGAATACAATAGCCTAAATACATCAAATACATTGTATAACCACATAAAAGGTATCTATAACACGTAATATAGCAAAAGGTATCTATAAATGGCTAATTAGACCTAAAAGATGGTACTTTATGAAAAATTCTCTTATTTATATTGGTAAAGATTAACTCAAGCTAATAAGATGTTAGCTATGTATTTGTAATACATTGGGTCTTATTGTAAAAAAGTTTATTTACTAAGAAAAAGATATGAGTAGTTTAATTCAAAATTCTATAATATTTATTCTGTTAAAAGTTTGAGACATTCAAATTAATTGAATACTTGAAAACAAAAGTTACTGCATTCTTAGTGTCACCATACAAGGAAATAATATAAATTATTTTTATTAGTTAGAAGGTCAAATAATGAATAGTGGATTTTTAAAAATACTGATTGTGACCTTTTAATAGATATTGTAATTTTCTATGGTTAAAAAGGCATATCCGGATAACCAAATTAATTGTAAATTGAAAAATTAAAACTTGAAAACTTGGAAATAAAATTTATTACATTCCTATGATATTCTACGAAATTATGTATTTAATTAAAAATGCTAGTTAAATGGTATTTACAACCTCATAACGTTACTATAAAAGAAGATAATACCTTTTTATTAAACTTACCGCATTTTCCACCATTTTAAGAATCATGCACTCTTCATATCACCGTACAACAACAACAACAATAACATACTCAGTATTTATCCGTGTAGGAGAATTAAAAATTAATTGCAACTTAAGAAATTGAATAAAAAAAAACTGAAAGGAAAACTACTGCATTTTTAATGTTATTTTACCAGAAGATAATTTTGTATCAAGTAAAAGGCCAAATAATAAATACAAAAAATATTAGATTTTTTAATTAATACGAAAAAATGTTAATTTTTCTGTATGATTAACTATAGTTATAATTTCATCCAACATGGAATGCACCTATGAGGATAAAAATGTCGACTAACATTTGATGTTAGAGTTTCATGCTTTTTCTTCCAATAATTTTTTATAAAAAATAAATAATATAAAAACTCGATTCATTTAATATTTTGGGATACATTGTTGATCTTAGATAAGCTTTTGTTAATTTAATTTTAAAAAAAAAACTCTCAAATTTTCAAAAATTGTTAATATTATCTATAAGTGATATAGCCATTTTGAAAGAAAAAAAATACGTAAGCTATTTTTATTGAATATAAATATCATTTAAAGCATTATGTTCTAATTATATTATTTCTCTTAGAATTTTTAATTTTAAACGTAAGCTTAACCGTCATTATCAATTTGATTATTAAAATTATTAATCCTATATTTTAAGAAACATTAAGGTTAAGACAATATTATCTTTTTAAATTCTCGTGTCTCCTTTTTCTTCGGAGTCGTTTTCAGTCACCATCAGTTACACGCAGTATTCTTTTCTTTCTTTTTTATATAGATATAGATTCATATTTCCTATAAACTTCCAATATGTTTAAGCAAAAATAAAATAAAGAGAAATTTCCTCTATTAAAAAATTTTGGGCCTCAAAATTTTGGGGCCTTTGCTACACGACACAGATCGGGGAGAAATTAAAAAATAGCCAGATTTATAACTGGTCGTTCAAAAATAGCTCAGTTTCAAGTAATCGAAATTTAGTCACTTTTCATGTAAAAATAAATCTGAGCGAAAACACTGTTCAAAACCCGAAAAATACGCCAGTATATTATACTGGAGTTCCAGCATAAGTATGTTTGAACTCCAGCATATTATACTGGAGTTCCAGGATAAGTATGTTGGAACTCCAGCATAATATGATGGAGTTTCAGCATAAGTACACTAGAACTCCAGCATAATATACTGGTGTTCCAGCAAGTATAATTGTCCAGTATAATATACTGGAGTTTGGAGCACCGGTGCTCCAGTCTCCAGTATATTATACTGGAGTCAGCAAAGTATATCGGTTCAGCATAATATGCTGGAGTTCATACACAGGTGCACCGAACTCCAGTATATTATGCTGGACCAGTCTCTGTTTCAGCAAAATAGTGACTATTTTTCATTGACTTTGCAAACACTGGATATTTTTGAATGACCAGTCCGAAAACTGGCTATTTCGTACTATTTTCGTCAGACTAATTGATTGATGTGTCTCTTCCATTCTATATCCCTAACCTTTGACTAATTTGAGTACTTGACAAATACGTTACCATGGTACGTAATTGACTCTTTGCTAACTAACTTAATATAAGTTGAAAAAACTTAGACCCTTTGAAAACAGTATAACGTCAAGAAAGCACAATAAAAAGTAAAAACAATATTCCAATTCTTTCTAATTAAATAATTTTATTAGTGGAATATCATCGGTGTGTCCAACTTAAACTCATTATTTTCGATTCAAACGGTATCTAAGAGATGAACAATCGAATTACATATACACTTCACTGTGGAAGAGTCATCAAAGATCAATCCACATTTCTAATCAAGCAGTTGATCTTACAACAACACCGGTCTATAAGCAAAGCTTCTATCTTACATTTCCCTAACGGATACTCGAACGAAATGGACATATCATTACATCCTTTGGCTGCTCAGGCCTCTACTATATCTTTGTGTAGTTTCTGCACAGCACCAGTAGATGCA